GCCGCCGATGACCAGGATCATGGTGCCGCCCAGGATCTGGCTGTGCATCGACTGGCACTGCGGGTAGTCGGCCTTGGTGAAGAACCTGGGCGCAGCCCACGATGTTGGTGGCCGTGAGCGTCGTGGCCGTGTCGTCCCACATGGCCAGCACGCACAGGTCGTAGCCGGTCCCGGACACCAGGTTGTTGACCACGAAGGCCTTGTTGGAAAGCTGGGATCATCCTGGCGGGGAGGGAGGGCACAGAGGGGAGGATGGCAGGGACAGCAGAGTGGTGGGGGTCAGAGGCAGAAACAGAGGGGGGTTGACACAGGACAGACGGAGAAGTGGGGGCGAGAGAGACAGACCGACACAGGGGCACAGTATGAGGCAGCGCAGGAGAGGGACAGGTGAAGAGACAGGGAAGGGAGAGGTGGGACGGAGAGGAGTGGAGGGGCAGGCAGGAGAGGGGAGTGTAGAACACAGTGCAGGAGTCAGATGCGAGGAGAAGGCCCCAGGTAAGAACCCGGGAAAGACAGGCCGAGTGAAGAGGGCAGTGAGGCAGAGTCAAGGGTAGGCGTGCCGGAGGGAGATGTCCACAGACATCAGCCGTCAACGTGGGAACCACCCAGCAGAGGTGGGAGTAAAGGCAGGGGAGTGGAAAGCAGAGGCAGGGAAGGAGTTCAGAGATGGAGGCACCGAGAAGAAAGGAGAGAGCCAGAGAGATGAGGGAGGAAGCACAGGGAGGGCAGAGGGAGACACAGAGGCAGAGGTTAAAGGCCTGAGAAGCAGCAGAAATTAAACAAAGGGACCCTCCTTCCTGCCTCCCGCCCCAGCTCCGCTTCTGCCATGTCTGTTGCAAATATCCCCGAGGCTCCTGGGAAGGGGAGGGTGTGAGAGTCAGGTCGGCCCTGGCCCTGGGCCAGCCCACCTGAAGGCTCGGCCCCCCCTTGTCCTGTCCTTGGAGGCTCATCAACATTGACAAAGCCTCCTCTCGGGGTCCTGAGCTGTCCTCAGGGGTCCCTGAACCACCGACAAGGCCCTGACCTCAGGCCAGATGGCCGTCATGCCTGGGGAGGGGAAGGTGTGCGGGGCAAAGTGGGAGCTGGGTGATGTTGAAGACTAGAGGGTGATTCTGCTTCTCAGAAGGAAGGACAGTCCTCCATCACAGCCACAGCCGGCCAGGCGCATCTGAGGAGACCTGCAGAAAGAGGTGCTCTGGCCGGGGAGGCCTCCAGGGGCCCCTCCACCTTAGGGGAGGGTCTGATGAGCAGCGGTCTCCCCACAGTGGGACCCTCCACGGTAGCCTGGGCCAGTCCTACCTGGACGCCAACCCTGATCTCTGAGCCCTCGTTCAGGTATCACACCTGTGCTGTTTCCAGAGAGGATGCTATGTTACCCATAAACCCTCCTGCAGGAATACACATTGCCCTCAGCCGAGGGTGCCGTCCCCCTCTGCAGCCTTCACAGAGCCCCCTGCTCCCAGGGGCCCTCCGTTCTCCTGCCTCTGCTATTCAAGGGCTCCATCAGCAGCCATCAACTCCTCAAACCCAGAGCCAGGCAGCTTAATTGAGACCTCAACTATGAAATTCCAGGGCTGAGAACTTCCACCAGGGAAGCCCGCATCGGGGAGGGGAGCTGACAGGCAGGTATTGACATCCCGTCAGCACAGCCTGGGAGCTCTGCCTCCGTCCTCACCCGCCCAGCTGCTCTGCTGGGGACGCCACATGGAGGGCCCTTCGCCCCCCCCCCCCCTCACCCTGAGCCCATAGCTGCAGAGCTAGGGGCAGAAGGGGCAGGATCCAGCCGGAGCCTGGGACATTGGGGAACCCTGTGCTCTCATGTCAGGGAAGCGGAACGGCCAAGACTCAGAGAGGCTGTGTCTTGGCCGAGGTCACACAGCTGAGCGGGTAGGGTGGGGCAGTTGGGACTTGAACACCAGCTTGTAGTTCCACAGTCTGGGCTTGCTCCTCACCACAGGACAGCCATGGGTGTTGTTCCTCGTCTCTGAAAGCCATTTGCCTGCGGCCTGTCAGCCACCTCCTTGCCTGGATCAGCGTTCAGCGGCCCCTGCGCCTCACACTCCTCCACCAGCGGGTCTCGGGCTTGCGGGCCATCTCTGGGCAGAGCCGCAGGAGCCCTCTGTGGCCAGTGCTATGGGCCCACTTCCTTCACCTCAGGGTCACGTTGCAAGTTAGAGAGGTGGGAGCCACCACACCCAGAACAGGGGCAAAGGCCCAGGGCGGCTGGGTGCCAGGCTGTCAGTGCCCTGTGCCCGCCACCTCGCTGAGTCCCGCAGCAACTTCCTGAGGTGGCCCCTGGTGGGCTCCTCCTCCTGCAGATGGAACCGACTCTGGGGGCAGGAAGCAACATAACTGGCAGAGCTGGCACTCAAGCCCAGGCAGCCTGGCTCTTGTCCACTGAGTCACCGCACTCTGCCCCTCACTGGGCACGAGCAATGTGAGAGCAGGTCCCTTGGGGATGGAGATGGGCCAGGTGTTTATTGAACCCCCATTATGTGACAAGGTTTCCACATTCTGTTGCATTTATTGTTTACAACAACCTCAGGACCCAGGAGGTGAACCGCAGGCCCAGAAATCATCTCACTGTTTAAACCATCTTCTCTTAGGAAGCAGGGCCTGATACTACTACTACTATTAATACTAATACCAATACTAATACCAACACCAATACCAATACCAATACCAATTCTAATATCAATACTAATACTAATGCTAATACCAATACCAATACCAATACTAATACCAACACCAGCACCAATACCAATATCAATTCCAATACTAATATTAATACCAATACTAATACTAATGAAGAGGAGTAATTAACACTGAGGCCTGACTCTGTGCCAGGCATTTCATCCTCCCTACAGTTGTTGGGGAGGTCGTCCCTGTTACTATCCTCTCCCTTTTACAGATAAAGAACCTGGACAGAAAGGCTACGCGTCTGCCTAGTGGCACTCCAGTAAGTGGCAGAGCTGGGATCTGGGCAGGCAGCCTGCCCCCAGCACCTCTGCTCCCGACTGCTGTGCCACGCAGCCACCGCCCTGTTCTCTGCCTCCGCAGGTGACTGCGAGGGGCTCTGCCTGGCCTCTCTCCCCGCTGCCTCCCAGTCAGGGAAAGCATGCGGTGATGGAGCACAGCTGGGCTGTGCCACCAATGCTGGTGTGAGAGGGCTGACCCTTGGCACCCGGGGTGAAGGGTCAGGGTTGGAAAAGCCTCACACAAGAATTGGCCTAAGAAGAAAAGCTGCTCCTGGTTCCTGTGTGTGTGTGTGTGTGTGTGTGTGTGTGTGAGAGAGAGAGAGAGAGAGAGAGAGAGAGAGAGAGAGAGAGAGCGCTTACAGGGAGAGTGGGCAGCCAGGTGGCTCACTACAGCCTCTGGCAGTCATGTTTGCCTTCACCAATCAGGGCACTAACCAGTGATGACAGTTGCCACGTGCTAACCTTGTGCTCTGAAGTTTACATGCTTTCCTCTCCAGACAACCCTGAGGAGGGACTCGTTACCATTGAGGGGAGGAGGGACTCGTTACCATTGAGGGGAGGAGGGAGCTCCGCAGCTCTCACTCTCTGGGGGCCCTGGTGGAGCTGAGGGCAGCTCTGGATCCACTAGATCTCAGAGCCCACACACCTAGAAACAAGACCGCTCCCTCCTCCAGGCAGCAGAAAGAGCACACTGCACGAGAGAGCCCTGTGAAATGGGCACTACTCCAACTCCAGGACCGACCACAACTCATTTCCTGCCCATGAGGTCTTGTCCACCCCGTCATGGGCGCCACTGGACCAACCACTGAGTCCCAGGCCAGGTCTGGATCCTGGATCGACCTTCCTTCCCACCCACATCCCCCCGCACCCTGGCTGGAAGTCCCCCTCTGGACTTCTCCACACTCACACTTTGGCTCAGGTCTCACGTCTCTGGTCTGGATGAATGCAGCAGCCTTCCAGCCAGCTCCCCCGCCTCTGGCTGTGCTCAGCACCATCTCCTCCAGAGAGCTGCATCTGACTGGGGCACTCCTCTGGCCGTGCCCCTCGCCCACGGAGACCCCCTCCAAGGGCTGCCCATGACCTCGAAGGCACAGCCCAAGCCCCTGAGCTGAGCTCCCACACCTGGCTTCCCATCACATTCTTTAGGGAAACACTGCAGATCGGTCAGGCTTTTCAGGGCAGGAGGCCCACTCCCAGAGCGATACTAAGACTTTACTCACAAGAGGACTCATTACCGAGGGGTGGGTAGGGGGTGGGGGACCACGAGGGAATGTGCAATAACTCATGGTTGGCAGCAGCCAAGCTGGTACCCTCTCTAGGCCCAAGCATACCAGGGGAGGTCACCCAACCCAGAAAAGAGAGAGAATCATGCAGCCCCACCCTACTCAGCGCAGCCCAAAGCCAGATGCTGGTCCATGAGCTGTTGTTTCCTGGTTCATGAACAGACAGGACAGAAATGGAGAGTAAGCACTGGGGAAGGGTCACTGCAAGTTGGCACTGATGGTGACAGCCAAGGGCAAGACCCCTTTCCCTGGTAGTTTATTTCTATTATTTCTTACAAGAGCACCGGTCTGCCCTGGACGGGGGAGGCAGCTCCAGCCCTTCACCATGAGCAGCTGGAGCAGCACCTCTCTGGGCAGCGTTTCTCGGCCGGGGCACGATTGGTACCTCGGCTGAGTGATTCTTGGTCTGGGCAGCTGTCCTGTGCACTGGAGAATGTCTCAGCATCCCGGCCCCGCCCCACAGGAGGCCAGGAGCATCTCCAGTTGTGACAGCCAGAGGTGTGTCCAGGCACTGCCCCATGTCGTCTGGGGGAGAACCACCCCTGATGAGACACATTGGGGCATTTAGACGAGGGGCAGGGGCAGCCAGGGGCAACCTCAGAGCATGGGAACCAGACAAGGAGTACCCTGACCCCACTCTCTCCCCTCTGCCCACTCCTCTGCTCCTGTCCCCAGGGCTGAACCCAGCCAGAAGCCAGAGCTCATGGCTGTACACTGGTCAGCCTCCCAGGGCACCCAGCAGGGTGGAGGAGGGGAGTGGACGGAGAGGCAAGCCATGATCTCTGGCACCACCCCCGTCACAGCCTCAAATCATGAGAGGCCCCTTCCCGTCACACAGACGGGTGACATTTCTGTTAGCGGAAACCATGAATTGCTATTTTAAGTTGAGTTGCTCCGATGTGTTAAATTTAATTAAGCTCACATGCTCCAAAACACAATTTAAAACTGCA